TTGTAAAAGCCACAAAAACTGCAATTTTTCAATGTCAGTCAGTCAGTACTGAGTGTAGAGGTTGCACAAGATGAGTCATCTGGTTTTGCATAACAACTTCCAATTTAGACCTTCAAGAACCACATTAGCCTTTTGCCTCAGCATTATGTTGGGAAGCTTTGTTCACTGTAAGAGCAACTTTTTACAGAGCTGTGGCCTTCCAGAACACAGTCTATCCTCTCTTCTTTATTTTCATTTTTACATGACCTACTTATCTTTTTCTCAGACATATAACTTTGAAGCGATCATATTGAATGTATTTTCAACCTGCAATGTTCCATATTAATGCCTCTGTTATTACTGAACATTCTGAAAATACAAATGAGATTAGCTAATGATGCTAACAGATTTTTATGTTCACATCCTCAAAGAGAACCAACTGATAGGAAAATCTATTGATCTAATGCAAAAACCCATAGAGCATATCTCCATCATGATTCCCTTGTCTGTACATGTAGGCAGTTCTTAATCACTTAAACACTGACATTACCCAGGAATAATTGTATCAGATGCTACTAAATGAAATGCCATAATGGTCCTATTGTACCCACAATTTTTAGCCATATCCATGGCTCCATCAGGACTTCCAAGGTATAAAAAACAGATGAGAGCTAAGTCTATTGTCAGTTTACCTAAATGTTCTATATAAATATCCTATTGTCCTTAAATTTTCAGCAAAAACTGACAAACATTATAAAATAAACTTGTAATCTCAATCACTAAGAAAAGCAAGTTTGTCATTCAAGAGTATGCTCTCTATAAAGAATTTAAACAATGTATTGAATAGGCTTTAGCTTTATTACTATGTTTTGGGGTTGGTCACTAAAATTCTGTATCAGTTTTTCCAGTTTTGCCCAGCTTTGCCATCAGACTCATTTACTATTGGCTGTTTGGATCATTCTCAATTATCCTTTTGAATAACAGCGTGTTTGACACTGTTCTGGTACTACTCTGCCTTTGTCAGGACAATCAAGAGATTGTGTTTCAGACAGCTTTAAATACCAAAAGTTAAAAAAAGCAGTGAAATTGAAATTTACTGTCCCTAACCAACACTGCTTAAATACCCTGCTTCTTTCAATTACATTTAAAAAAAGGCTTCAAAAACATGTATCAGCTTTCTTCTTTTCAAACACAGACTGGATTTTCTCCTCTATGTAATTTAATTGTCTTGGTAAAATGAAATCGGAGTTAAAGACCCAAACAAGAACTTATATCACATAATTTTTTATCTTTAGAATTATTGAATTGGTCAACTTCTTTTACAGTCAGTAGAATGGAACACTCAATTCTCAAACATGATTTATAGAGGAGATAAATAGTATCCTGGATGCATAACTATCCTATAATCTAAGATTCTGGGGGGAAAAAAACCAAATCAAAAACTGACACCAAATACAGGAGGAGATGTTTATTAGAAAATATCATGCAGCAAATACTTGAAAACAGAGCTAAAAACCTATATAAGTTCTAAACCCACTTTATAGGCTTTCTTTTTCTGAAAAGATTCTCTGCTCACTCTTTTGCTTCAAGCCTAATTAATTGATGAAAATAGTAATATTAATGCATTAGAGCTATTATAAATTACACTAGAATTTCCAAACTAATAAAATACCTACAGAATTACATATATGAGTGTATAGATTTAAAATCTAAGGAGTATGGGCTTGCCTAAAGCTCGAATCATAAGCTCTCAGGCAATAGACTTAAAAAATTGTGATCAAGAAATAAAGACAATTATTTGAGTTAGAACAGCCTCTGTGAAAGAAAGAGATGCTCTTATAAAGTAAAATATCTGCTTAGAAAAGAGGTGGAAAAAGCTCTGCCATATCACAGCAGTAGAGTAAAAAGTGTGGTAATAACATACCACCTTTTCCACTTTAGTACTTTTTTCCACTTAGTGGAATATGAAGGCACGATCATCCAGATTTTGCCTAAGGTTCCTCCAATATGAAGTGAAGTATTATCTGAAAATAGTTTCAAAAAGTAACATTAGTCAACAATCATTCTGTAAAGTCATGAGTGCAAACAGCTGATACCACGATCCTGGTAAATCAATCAGGTGATTTAAGCAGACCATAAAATACGAGCAATTAAATAATCCTTATGTATTAACAACTAAGAATGGCAGCTATTACTCAAGGAACAGCAGAGGACTAGACCAAAGGGTTTTCCAGATGACTGATTGTTAATTTAGAAGCTGGAGCAAGCTGTTTGTGTAAGGAAGAAGAGCAATGTTAAGCAAAGACTCAGCTCCCTTCTCAAGAAAGGAAAATAAATACCATTCTTCCCTTTTGAGGAAATGTTATAGCAAAACTGCCACAGATGTGTCACTAGGAACCAATGGGTCAGGAGGACTTCCACTTTTATGTAAGACTTGCTTTCTGACCAATCTTATTATACTTCACAGATTAGTGATGGAACTAAATTATTCTATATGAGTAGTACAGTCAGTCAAAGTTTGACACCATGTAAACACACAGAATAGTATGGCATTTCTGAAACATTACGTCACCCTTGAAGATTTAGCACAAAAGGTAAGAACTGGCCTCAGACCATTTTTAAAAGTAATTTTAACGCTTCCTCATTATTTGAGAAGTGTACTTTTTTGTATTAAATTTGATTAAGTCAAAGATTACTGATAAGAAGCTTAAGAATCACCATGACAACATCATGAAAATGTGTACTGTTCCAGATCACACTGTCCAAGAAATAATCCAATCTATTAAACCAACTAACTTCTAAATACATTGCAAAGTTTATTGACTGGTTAGGAGGTTAGTAAAGTGCAAATGCTGTCAATGTTGCATTGCCTACTAAAATGTCAGATAGAAATTTGTTGAGATTTCAGCTGTCTTCTCTCCTGCATAGATTACTCTGACATTCAATAAGGTATAAAATGCTGTTCTTTAAATATCTAATGGATAACAAGAAATCACCACTTGAAGTATATAGAGGAAAATGGTAATGCTTTAATAGCTAAAAGGGCCATCAGAATCACGTAGATGTACAGTCAAGTTATGGGTACAGTAGATTCCATAACACAAAACAAATTGAATCAATAAATGCATGTATGCTACAATGTCACTTCAATATTTGAATTCCACTTCCAGAGGAAACACAAGGCTTTAGATTTTTTTGATAAAATATATGCCATTGTCAAGCAGCCAGTTTTGTACAGCAATATGTAGTAAAAGCATATGGGAAAGACTGGGTTGGCATTACAGAAAGTTAATGGAATTTCAACAGGAGTTGACTCATGCTGTAATGCATCATATGAATTCAGAAAATTAAGAATTAGTTTTTACAGTTTTCCAAAATAAATCTGACATATCAGGGTTACCAAGATGTCCAACAGTGTTATGACCTGCCCCTGAGGTCATAACCGATCCCTTGGGGCAGATTAGCATGAAACAAAACAGAATGACTGGTGGGTTTTTACACACACACACACACGTATGTATGTATGTCAGGTTTATTTTGGAACAATTTGATTGCAATGGAAACGAGGTGTGTAGCAGGTTTGGGTTTATCTATAGAAATACAATAATATAAAGGTATAAAAATAACATCCAAGAAAATATACAAGAAAGAGAAACAAAGGATAAGAGTAGATAGTGGAAAGGAGAGATACCACCACCCAACAAGACTTGATTACAATTACCATGTCTGTTGGTCAAAGTGATGGTTGCAAACTTGATCCATCAGGGGTGGGGGAAGCCCTCGAAACATAAAGTTCAATGTGTTCATAAGCATTCAGGTTCAGGTGGCAACATCCAGGTACCTCTCCTGGAGGGGACAGTTTATACTGTCTGTTGTAACACTCTAGATCATGCACAGTCCTCTCGTGGAAAGTTCTGGGGGCAGTTTGGGGGTCTTTGATGGTTTATGACCCCTTCTAAGGCATGACTGCTGTTTCTCAAACCAATTATGCCTTAACAGAAGGAATGAATACCCTCAGGCCTACGTGTGAATGTCCCAGTACCTCTTCCGGGATGGAGAATTTTATACTTGAGCCAGTTGTTGAAACTGGCATTGTAGAACGCATTATCACACCTCACAGGATCTGCTTTTTATAGGACTCTTCCCTTATCTGTCTCAAAACCCAGCTTTTTGCTAAACAGAAGTCAGTTTGTTGTGGTCATCCTCTGGTGGTGGGTGCTCACCGGCTCTGCACCCTGGGCTGTCCTTCTGCAGATCAGAGGTTTTGCCACCACACACTCAAAACTCTTCACATCCTCTCAGTTGAGGGTGCAAACCTGGCCTCAGCAAAGCACATTGCTTTTACAAATGACCAATTGTTTGAGTCATTAACCTTCAATATTTCAGTCTCTCACAAACAGCAAACCAAAATCCAGTGTTCCATATTTACTCAAGCATGTATGTGCTGGTTTAAGAGTTAACCAGCAGGGGAAATGAACTCAACTCAAAAGAGAGATTATAAATCAGAATAACAATTTATTAAAATAATACAATAAGTACAATTATACAAACAACAATTGGTCTTAACCCCCAAAACCCAAATGTATAACCCAGCACCCTGGGGCATGAACCAAGTGGTGTTCCTTGGGCTCCCCCTTGAGTCCAAAGTAAAGGGAGAGGGGAAAAACCTGCTGGTGGGAGAGCTGTTGCAGTCTGGTTGAGAGCGGTGAGCTTCCTCTGGATCCCATGAGTGGTTGAAAAGTTCTGAAACTCCAGGTTTATATATTCTCCAGTTCAGGCAGGAATGGTCAATCCTTCCCTCAGAGCGGGGAATTCCATAAAAGGAATGGTCAATCCTTCCCTCAGAGTGGGGAATTCCATAAAAGGGTACGAGGACAGGAACATCCCCCCACAGGCAGCCCTCCCCCCCTCCGACAACAGTTTCTGGGAAATGGCATGGAGGGCCATAGAATACACAGTTTTGGGCTATACCCATCCAGTGATGAATCGGTCCCAGTTGTTCTAACTAGGACAACGTACAGCAAGTTAATTCTTCAAGCTATATGTGCACAAACATGGCCTAGTTTATGCAAGAGACTCATTTTCAGGTAAAAAAAAAATCCGTTGACTAGTTACCAACAATACATTGCACACAAATACATTTAGACCTTGAAATGATGGGCAAATCAAGCCACAGCAAGAGTACATTATCACCCATATAGAATAATCCCCTTGAGTATGTTGTGGGTTTTATTGTTTGGTTTTTCGTTGTTTTTACTGCTGGTTTTTGTTTGTTTGCTTGTTTTAAAACAACAGACACTTAAAAAACTAATAACTTACAAAAATACTGATAATCATAAAATCATAGAATCAAGCACGTTGGAAAAGACCTCCGAGATCATCAAGTCCAACCCTTGATCCAACACCACCATGGTTATTAGACCATGGCACTAAGTACCACATCCAGTCTCATCTTAAACACCTCCAGGGACAGTGAATCCACCACCTCCCTGGGCAGCCCATTCCAATAAAATGTCTCATATTTCTACCACCTCGATACTCTCTTCTTCTTTCAACATTTTCTACCATCTCAGTAGTATCCCCAGTAGTTTTTTCAGTAGCTACATGATGCTCAGGCTTCTTTTGCATAAAATCCATTGATAAAATATTCTGTCTCAGTTCGTTGATATATTTCAAACCATTTACATCCGAAAGCTTCTGGTTCTGTGAAATGGTTGAAAAGGCTTTTTTAAGGCCCATGTAAGGATTGGTGTTTTCTGTTTAGTTTTTTCAGGAAATAGCACTGCTTCAGTTTCAGGTGTAGGAAATCGTACTCTATACACTTCAGGGTAAGATTTCTGAAACTAGAAAAGTACATTAATTCAAATTAGAATTTGACCAACTTGTAAAATAAACTACTACAGTGCAACCTCCATTTCTGGAGTAGGAAAATTATTTCCCTAATGGGCTTTCTACATCTCCATATATAGAAAATATCACCTAATTTTCTAATATGGGTTGATTCATCACAGTATTCCAGTTCTAATGATATAAAGTTGATACCCCCAAGCATACGCGCCATTTTAAATTTCAGTATTTCTGTACAGGAATACATGCCTAAGACTTGGTAAAACTTTTTAAGTTCAAATTAGAGACTGTAGAGCAATTTTTATTTACTTGCTTGAGCTTCTTCTTTTTATCTTTCACAGGTATTTCTTTATTCATTACAATTTCATCCAGCAAAGCTGCCAGTGGTTCTTGAGAGCCAGTTGCCCTTTGGTATTCAAATTCATCTGTACTGATTTGGTGACAAAATGGTGGAGGAGGAAATGTTGCATCAGTATCAGCTCTAGCACATTTAATCTGAAGAAATAGTAAAAAAAAAAAGAGCGCTATGTTTTCTGCAAACAATTTACAAAAACTGGCTTAATTAATTGACCACCCAGAAACATCAAGTAGAGAAGATATGGCATACAGACCCTAAACTGTACTTTCTATCTCTTGTACTAATCAAGTGAGTTCCAGTAAGTCAAAAAACATGACACAAAGGAAGCCTGTTCAACTCTTGAAATAAGTTTAAACTTACTTTTTCACTAGAAAATAAAGATAGAGGAACTAAAAGCCAGTTTTGAAAAAACAAAATATGGTATCAGGAAACAGAGTTATAAAAAAATGATCAAGTAAGGATGGCTCTGAAAAAAAAAGGTTACAGCATTAATGGAAGCACTTTATAATTCACAGTTTTCCTCATTATTACGTAGTTTACCCATTCCATGGAAAAGAAGTGCTGATTAACAGGAAAACGTATTTTAAAGTTCTTGTCTCTAAACCATTCAAGATTTGCTTAGTTGCATATGAACACATAGTTAAGGTTGAATATCAGTAGTCAGAATTAGTTAACTCTTCAGAAGCTAACAGAGACAGAACAAAGTGTTTTAAGAACTGTTGAACTTCGGAGAACAAAGGATAAATTTGACCTAGAAACACAGAGACAAGAGAGGCTTTTTCACTAGATACTTACTTGGACTCTCTGGAGACGTATAACATGATCCTCTATAGAAGATTTTAAAGCAGAAGGAACACTTAAGATCTCTTGATAATTATCCATGAGAAAAGATACTAGTTTGGCAGCAAGCAGTTCATCCAAATCTATTTCATCATTTGAGCAGAGGATACAACGGGAAAACGCCTGAACCATCTGAGAAAAAAAGCAACATCATTATCATGTATATTTCTGTTTGGGACTGAGGAGTAGGGAATCAGGCTGCATTTAAAAAGTGACCTTGTAGAATAAATATTTTAACATCACAATACTTACTGTACTTCCAACATACTAGTATAATAAAAAAACCAACTTGTTATGTACGGTGACATTATGTTAGTGGTGGATTGAAGATTACTCCTGCCTCATATAGATAATCCAATCCTGACTTTAGACTTAGAATGGATGAATTCTATTTTGTTCTCAAGACTTGGTAAAATAGCCACTTCATATGGCTATTTACAGTTAAACAGAGAATAAGTATTTAGAGATTTTTTTAATATAACACAGAACTTTCATAGAAGTTAAGTATGAGATGGAAAACTGAATACCACTATTTTGAAATCATCAAACCAAATTTCAGGTCCAGTTCACTTCGTGTAGTCTTGTGCTCAAGCATTATGTCTGTGCACTGGTCATTTCTAACGTTAAAAGCACAGAAGGTAAAAAGGATTTCTGTCATGTACCATAGACTACGCAGTGGAATTAAAACCTAGTACAAAATACTTGGACTGTAAGGATTCACTTCTAAAAATAACATTTAGATTATAACATAACTACTTAAATAAAAGACCATTTACAGTTAATTAAATTATAACCTTAGCAGTCAAAAAAATAATTATTTTAATCAAGTGTTATTCATAGTAAATTAAAATCTTAATTGCTGTGGAACAAATTTAGATTTATGCACATTACTATAGAATTTTTATAGAATGGCTCTACAGCTTAGTTTTGCATTGCACTTAATTTTCAAAGACTTTAAAATTAACCAAAATAAATACATGTTCTTAGCCAGTTGGAATTGTTAAGAAAAAGCATTAGCAAAAAATAGAGCTTTGTCAAAATCTGATTAAAATTCTTTTCCGAGACTTTTGTGGTGGAAAAAAAAATTACTATTGAAATGAACTGGTAGGATTTTTTTAAATAGCTGAAAACAGGTAAATCAAAATATGCAGCTATGTATTTCTAACCTTGACTGAAACAGGAAGTCTTTTTCATTCACACTGCAATGATAAAGAAGACCAGAGACCTCCTCTGCTAGTTTTTTTTTTGTTTATTTGTTTGGGGTTGTTTGTTTGGGTTTTTCTACTGAATAGAGAAATCAGTGGGGATTTAACTTTGAAAGATAAGGAAACCTCTAAAATTCTAAGCAAGTTCTTTGTGTGCTCACAAATTACCATGAAATTCCAGTTTATTCAAATTCAGATTAGCTTTCAACATAGCTAGAATAGATAGACAAACCACTCTTCCAACAAGCAAACTGTATTATGTATACACTCTCCAGTAAGAATCTTCAATCCGTGCTACTCCAAAAGCCTTGTCCTCGACCTTTTGCCTCACATTTATACATACCAAAGTTCTGGTCCTCACTGATTCAGAAAGAGGTGGCAAATCTTTGTTGAGGCTAATTCTTGCCATCATTCTCACCAACAGCTGTAGTCTTTTTCGATTTTCTGGTGGCAGCAGGAGACAAGATATCTGAAGAGCTTCTACAGCTTTGCTGTGTTTTTGCAGCAGTCCTGGTTTATACAAGATCAGGAGGCAGGGCAACATTTCTCACTTAAGTATTTCCATAACATTTAACACAACATTTCTATATTAAACTCCCCAAATTCCTTTCTTACTCATTCAAGACTGCCTTAGAACTTCGGTTCCCAAAGAGACTAGGAAGATATTCCTAGAGTTGGACTACTAGATCTGGGTGGCTTGTTTAAGTATTTAGATTTCCTTCTGATGCACTGGAAAATATTAATAACCATAACAAACAATTCTAGATATTAGGATACATGAAAAACTACAATGTTTTGATTCATCCTTTGCACTTTAATTCCCTCGGCTCTAAACATAACTGAGATGGTATGCACAGGTGTAGCAACCACAATAAAATGTTAAGCCTGTGGCAACAATCAGAGAAACATAAACATGTGCTTATACATCAGTGACAGCTATGACAATACCAACATGTTCCTCACACCTGTAGGGGTTAAATTGGTGCCTAACTCTGCTTACAGACTCTTGAGAAAACAATCCCGTGAGCATGGTAGAGATATTTGAAGACTGGACATGCACAGTAGAATCTGATAATAGTTTAGATCTCATCTATAAAGAGGTCTGACCACCACCATTTTGGGTTTATAAGGCTGTGCAAAGGAAGCATCTATTACAAATTTTCCTAAACAGCACTAACAAAAGTCAGGAAGCAAAATACCTGCATGACTGACATCTAACAGTAAATTCTATTAAAAAAGGAAGAAAACAAATAGAGACTTCTTTTTCCCATAGGATTATGGAGGTTGGAAGAGATCTCTGGAGAATATATAGACCTCTTCCCATGTTCAAAGCAGGTTCATCTACAGCAAGATGCCCAGGACTATGTCCTGCCAGGTTTTGAATACCTTCAAAGATGGAGATTTCACAGTCTCTCTAGTCAACCACTTCCACTGTTTGACAACCTCCCAATTAAAATGCTATTTTCCTTTATATAAATGAGGTTTCCTGTACTTCTGTTCCTGCCCATTGTCTCTTGCCCCGTCATTGGGTATCACTGATCTGGCTCCTTCTTTTCTCCTCCCATATCAATCTTTTATACACATTAATAAGATTCTCTCTGAGTCTTCTGCTTTTCAGGCTAAACAGTCCCTGCTTTCAGCCTTTTCCTATATGGCACATGTTCCAAGACTTAATAATTTTTGCTGTGTTTACTGGACTTGCTGACTAGTGCCCACCAGGACTTCCAAGGACTTCTCAGCAAAGCTTCTTTCAAATCAGGCCCCCCCATACCCAGCATTCACTGGTGCATGGACTTTTTCTTCCCCAGAAGAAGGCTTGGCAATTCCCTTTTTTTTAACTTTATGAAATCCCTGTTTACCTATTTCTCTAGTAAGTCAAGGTCCCTCTGCACGGCAGTACAACCCTCTGCTGCATTTAGCCACTTTTCCCCATTTTGCAATATTTGCAAGCTTGGTTAGGGCACTCTGTCCTTGTTTAGGACAGAATGTCCCATCATCCAGGTCATAAATGAAGTGTTAACCATTACTGGCCCATTATCAGCCCTGGGGTACTCACCACTAAGAGACAGTCAGCTGAATTTTGTGCCACTGATCACAACCCTCTAAGCCCAGCAACTCCACTGATTTCTGAGTTTACCTCACTACCCACCTTTTCAGCCTGTACTTCCTGAGGTTGCCTATAAGGATATGATGAAGGACAGTGTTGAAAGCTTTACTACTCTCAACATAAACAGTATTCACCACTGCTATCCCCTCATCGACCATTTTGGTCAATTCCACACTGTGTAAAAGTGGAACTGTTATTAAAAAAAAATGTGCAGTAGTTAGTAGGGCAGCACTTAGAGACAGTGTTCAAAGCAGACTGGTAAAGCACTGTAGTTAATTTTCAAAGCAACGCTTTCTCTAATTTCAAAGAAAATTTAACAAGCATACTAGTGCATATGTTTAGAAGATATGATTCCATATTATCATCTCATTTTTTTTGTGAAAGAGATCACAAAACTAATTTTTGACTTTTTGAAACAGTGCACGGTTTTCATTGATTTCCATATGGACATTGGTATGAAATCGTTCTCTCAATTTTCCATCTGAGAAATTATGGGAAATAAAACTCCTAAAACCTGAAAGATATAAAAAACAATGGCAAAGCAAACAGAAATAGAGTATGAAAGGAGAGGAATAATTTTTAAAAATATTATCAAGAATATTTGTTGTCTAAGAAAAAGAAGACAGAAATGGAACTATACTCAGAATGAAGAAAGATTGTGAACTAAGAAAGTATAACTTCTCCAGAAAGAGAAGTGTTATTCTGAATTCGTTTTTCATCACAACAGTTTACTAAAAGCAATGTTGTTCGCAGGAAAAGAAGTTCAAAAAACTGACATGATACAAAGCATGCTTACTTTTCAACTCAGTTTTTTTTTCTGAAATGCACCCATAAAATGTAATCAAATATTTTCACTTTTACTGTCTTTCAATAGGCCATCTATAGGATGAGAATAGGTGAATTTAATATAGTGTGAACAACTGAAAAGTTATAGTTAATAACGAAACCACTGCTTCAAAGAAGCAGTGGATTAGTTATTGTAATTTCTAAATTTAAGCAACAAAGGATTTCAATTTCCTTCAAATGTCATATTTCCAGGGTTAAAAACAGTGCTTATAGCCCTAATCCTTTCTAATCTAGACTTCAGTCAAGCAATTTCTAAAAGCTTATGAGAATTTTTAAGACATTTAAGCATTTGTAAAAAAAGAAAAATCTGTTAAAATCCATCTGTTAGATGTTGAGTAATGAACAGAGGCATTTAAAAATTAAGACAAGGAATGGAAGCCTTTTGAACTATTGTGATCAAAAGGATACAAATATTACCTTGTGATATAAAATAAATTTAAATATTAAACTGTGTTCTATGTAGAATGGAAAGGACAAATCCTAAAGAATTCAGCTGTAATACTATTTAAGTATAGTAAATTAACTCCAGGAAATTAATTCTAAAGAATAATTTTTTCATTACATCCCAAACTACTTACCTAACACACTAACAAAAACATCAAAAAAATGAAATGTGAGAAGAGGTTCTTTCATCTGGTCAAAGTAGTCGACTATAGTTTTGAAAACATCTCTTTCAAAGCCTACATATGTAGGCTGCTTCAAATCTGAGCAGCTGGGCCCTACGAAGAAAAAAAAAAGGGGAGGAAAGAAAGAGAGATAGAACATTGATTTTAAGCCACCAACCAGATCAGTATTTTCTAATTCAGTTCATGCAAATACACCATTAGAGGAAAAAAAAAAAGAAAAGACTCATTCTTCAAAATAAGTGAAATTTTATTGATCTACTGAATTGATCTATTCCCAACAGGTCTAGTGAAGACACATAGTAGAGGAAAAACATGAACAGAATAGTTAAGCCATTATATACTTCATTGAAATAAGCTGCACTTGAAGGAGAATACATGCTGGCAAGTCTTTTCCAACTTTGTTTAGGCAATTTTCATAAAAAATAGTGAAGGTGAATATAAATAGGATTTGATAAAGTGGTAAAGGCACAGTCAATTCAATTGATTTTTACGGGGGTGGGCTGTTTGTGGGGTATTTTTCCCCCTCCTGAATTACTTACAATTTGCTAGACATTTCATTGCAGATAATATCCAGTGAGGTAGTTCTTCTGCATGGGGAAGAAACAGACAAATTAAAAGGAGGGAAAAAAATTAGAAAAATATCTAACTGTAAGATAAAAGCACAGCTGAAAACACTGTTACAAGTTCCTCCTGTGTAGTAAATGAACTGACTCCAGAGTCAGGCTATACCTTAATGTAGGATCTAACTTGAATTACATCTATAATTCAGTATCTTCAGTATTCCCTGTCAACCACGTATGCATTCTGCTCTTGCAACTCAATCAGCAAAATGGATCACATCACAAATCCTTAACCTACCCTAAAAAAATCAGACAAACTAATTCAAGCTATACCTTCACCAGTGCAACACAGTGAAGTGTTTACTTTGCACTGAAGATGATGAAAAGCACTTGTATATTCAGTTCTGTCATTTCTACAAGGCTGAAGTTAATACTTTGAAGTGCTCCAACTGTCTTTAAAATGCCCACATACACATTCTGAAAGATGTTTCATTCAAAATCAAACCAGGTTTCAATATCATACTTAATTCCTCTACAAAACTTGTGAAAATCATGATGGCAATAACAGTGTGATACGTCAGAGCAGCAAAGATGCTTTATTTTCTCCCTGATGTGGAAAGGAGTTCTAAACATGATACTATCTTCACAACACATTGACTGAAAACTCAAAATTTTTTAAGTATCTCTCAGTGTATATTTTGGCTGTCTCCCAATTTTTAATACATTTTTTCTTTATGTAAACACTCCAGGCAGTTGAAAGGGCAGGGTTGAGAAAGCCACCTTGAAGTGAATAAAATCCCTATCTTTATAAATGGTAAAAATTTGCTGCGCTTCCATCTTCATTTTTCAACACTAAAGCTGGAATATGTTTAAGAGAGTAAATATGAAATAAACACTGACTTTTACAAATGGGATGTCAGAGGAGAACAACAGCCTTCTACTTTGTAAAAACACTAGTACAGATGTGATCATACAAGTATAAAGATGCTACAGGCTAGTATAAATCAGAACTAATACTTTATACTAGTAAACTACAATATAAAAAATTTAAATGAAAACTTCTAAAATACTCACTTGATTTGTCTTCTAAAGTGACAATGCCTTGCTTATTGACATTGTATGCATTTTGAACTATATGTTTTGAATTCACAAGTTTTACGTCTAACACTTCATCCAGAGAATCCAAACCCAAGACCTTTTGCAATCTGTAAAAACACATAAACACATAGTTCACACATCATCTAATCTGGAAAAAGCAAACATAAAGTATTTGGATAGATACAATTCTGAAAAAAAGGAGGCCTCCATTTCATAGAGAGTATCTCCAGTCGGATGACAGCCATAAGGATCGAGTGCAACTCCTGTTCCTCACAGGACTACCTAGACTCACAGAATATCCCAAGCAAGAAGGAACCCACAAGGACTCCAACTCCCAGTTTGCGTACCACAGCCCCCAAAATCACACCATGTGCCTGAGAGCATTGCCCAAACACTTGAACTTTGTCAGGCTTGGTGCCATGTAAACTTTCCGGGGGAGCCTGGTTCCAGTGCCCAATCACCCTCTCAGTGAAGAACCATTTCCTAATGTGGAGTCTGAAGTTCCCTGACACAGCCTGATTCCATCTCTTTGTTTCCTACTGCTGGTCACCAAAGATCATCTGCATCTCTGCCTCCCTTGAATTTGTATACTACAATGAGGTCACTCCCCAACCTTCTCAAAGTTGAACAAACCAAATGACCTCAGCCTCTCCTCCTAAATTTTGCCCTCAAGACCTTTCACCATCTTAGTTGCTGTCTTCTGGACATTCTCTATGCATGTTGACAGTTTACCTAGAAGGATACTGCAAGAGATAGTATCAAAAGCTTTGCCGAAATCCAAAACCAGCACATCTGTTGTTTTCTCTTTGTCCCTTGGTCAAGGGGGACCTTGTCATAAAAGGAAATTGAATTGATCAAGCAGGACTTTTCCCTGTTGAAACCATGATGGTTTTGATCAATGACTGCGTTGTCTCTCAAGTATTTTTCATTAAATCCCAAAATAACCTTTTCCATCATTTTACCAAGCACTGAAGGGAGACTGATAGGATTGTAACTACCAGGATCTTCACTCTTAGCCTTCTTAAAACTCGGGAAAATATTTGCCAGCTTCCAATCAATTGGGACCTCTCTGGGTTCCCAGGTCAGTTGAAAATAATGGAGAGAGATCTACAATGACATCATCCAGCTCTTTCAGTACTCTGGGATGAATCCCATTGGCCTCCACGGATTTAAGTGCATCCAGCTGGAGAAGCAAGTTTCAAATAAGTTCAGGGTGAACTGCGATTCTCCCATTTCCCCCAGTCATGATCTTGCAACACAGAGCTCTGGTGGTTTCAGGGGTCCATCATCAGACTCAGAAAGGCCATAGCTTTTTGCTGGGCTAATACCATTGCTCCCTGGTCAAGCTGGCAGGGTTTCAGGACCCTTTCACACAAACTACTGTGCCAATCCTGTTTGCTATGCTCCATAGGGGTCTCTGTGTGAAGGAGGGGCTTGGTCACCATTGTCCCTGGCCTTGTTGCCCAGGTCCCATCAGGCAATACCATGTGAGCTGCAGGCAGAGACCAGAGGGTCCCTCCACTCCCCTGCAATCTCCATCTTTGAGGAAACCTGGCAGTGCACATGCAGTAAAGCACACGCTGCCAATCGTGCTGTCACCAAAGCTGCTTGCCTCAGCATCGAGTTCATTACATGCACATAATGTGCTAGGTTTACATTAAAGTTTAGCAAGGCCTCAACTGTGCTGTAATATTAGCTAATGTGTATTATTTTTTTACCCCTGCATAAATTGTCTTAAACAATGACTTCAACTTTGCATGGGATATTCCTTTTGAATACACTAAAGAATATCTGACTCACAAAGCCTTCAGCACTCAAGTAGATACTCCATTTATCTCATACAAAGTATTGTACTTGACATTGAAAGTTTTCATAGTGTTGCATTCCTACATAAGTGCTTCTATTTCATAGAAACAAGAGAAAAAAAAGAAGACTGAGAGAAAAAAGTGATCAAATAAGACAAAGCCCACACAACAAAAGGACTAGCATAACATGACATGAAAAAGTCAAAAGGTACCAAGCACAATAAAATTTTTTTGCTGAATTTGTTAGCCAAATAACAAATTGAGAGTAGTAGAGAGTAGTATAATCTAGACACTATAGCTTTGAAGGCAGCGATGAAAAGTGAGTGGGTGAAATTACAAGCATTATCAGAGAAGACAGGCAAGACTATTACCTACTACAGTGTTAGCATAACTTGACTCACAAGTATACTCACTGTGACAAAGTCATGGATTTCCATATCTCTTCTATATTTGTTTGTGTTAGCTCTCTGCGGAACACAAGTTTGCATGCCGGTACTTCCCCTATAGCTATACTGTGTCGCTTGTACCACATCTCGGAGTTCTGAAATCAGAAAAAACTCTCCTCATTAACTGGTGCCTTTTCAAGTATTAAACAGTATATTACAATTGTGGTACAGCATTTCAAGCATTCCTAAATTCCAGTAAAGTCTTCAGGATGTAAGTGAGTGTGTTTCACAGGTGTGAAACATTTTTCTCAATCACACACACATCTTTTCTCAATTCCTTAACTTGTCCAAATGCAACCGGACATGCCTATCTCGTATTGGCCTTTTCAGCCACCAACACGCTTGCAACAAATGTGGGTAGAGCCCTTCCCAAATCTTCGTTCGCGAAGCCCAGCCATGATGAACATGTCCAAAGCTGAAAAATTATGTGTATCAGAGTAACCATTAAAGTTGAGTAGTCAATGGCCTTTAATCCTGTGTTCAGGTCGTCTCCATGATTAAAATCAGTTCATCTACCATTTTAAGATTACACATCTGCTTATGGAAAAGTTATTGGAGAATTATTAGATGAAATACCAAGGAATTAGAAACAATTCATCCTTTTTCAGCATATACTGATCATAACTAAACATCAAGTTCATTAGCAGGTTTTATATATGAAGAAACTAAAAGCAAATAGCTACATCTGAAGACACTCATCAGTCCATCATTACAACAGAATAAAGTAAAGCTGAGAATGCAGAAAACTACTATCCTTTACCCAACCTTCAATCCAAGCTTGACACTTGAAGATTGTCATTAAGGTGTCAGTGGACGGACATACAATACAGTTCATACCAGCAACATACTTTTCAACACAAAACTCTTAGTCATTCCCAGTTCTTTGATTTGTATCACAGAGCAGTGCTAAAGCGCATTAAAAGTATTACTTGTGATCACAACCAAACCACAAAATACACTCCAGGAATGCACTTAATTACTCCAAGTGCTAATCGTCTGTCATTTCATGACACTAGACTAGAGCTAGTTTGAAACAAATAGCACCCTCTGAAATTAAGAGTCTGGTCTTCCATAGCACTCTCTGAAATTAAGAGTCTGGTCTTCTACATCAGTATTTCACAACACAGAATCATGCTCATCAATCCACATACAGCCAGTAAGTGCTCAGATTGATACTGGAGCAACTCAAGATGCCACCATTTACAGGTATCTGTTTTCTTCAGCATTCCAGTGGAAGATACACCTTATTATAAACGAGCTAGCAGAAAGGAGCTTATACCTTTGCCTCAGTTACTTCAACTTGCAGTTCATTGTATTAATCCAAACTGCCAGTGAAAGAGATTTTGAGCTATGCCAGACTGCATGCTGTTGCATCTGAGTCAGATGCATAGAGGCAGTCTTTTCCTAACTCTTATCAGGCCAGGATGCTTGGATGGAAATTTAGAGCAGACAGCTAGAAGCTGTAGCATGTTAAAACTTCAGCAGAAACTTGCTCAGTAATTAAAATACTCTATTCTCTTGACTAGTCTTTGGCACTCTCTTTTCTTCTATCCTAATCTTCTACCTAGTATTGAAGTTCTTAGGACCATGTTTTTCCTCTTCAGAAACTTGCTGTACATAAAAAGTGTACTTGATTTGCACACAGTTAATTGGATTGCAAATATGGAATAACCATTCATTCAGAAACTTTAGATGTCCAGCAAAATGGTAGGAGATACTTTTCCAAACAGTCTATGGATCACCAAGAAATCCAAGACCAGTGTCCTGCACTGAAATGCAGTAATAAAAAGGCAAAAATTATCAAAGAAGTTTCAAGAGTTCACAAAATATGAGAACACACACATACGCTGGAGGAAGGACTTAGAATATACATAACTACAAAAGCCTAGGCTTTTACCATGTCCAGGAGTTGATAAAATTTTTAAAATAAAAGTATTTGGCATTTCATTTTATAATCAAGTATTTTGTGCCACAACAAAGAGGTCATTAGTTTGGTTTTGCTTTCCAAATATGCTTATGTCTGAGGAAGTGAAAACTGGGTGTTTTACCATTGTGACGGATTTCCCTGGGATGTGTTCTTGAGAAGTGCCAGCCTTCGGTTCATTCCAGTCTGGAAATTTAATTATTTCCTTTCCACATGAAGGTTTCTTTGGATATGACTTCAGTGGTGAGGAAGGAGGAAATCTACAATTAGAGAATATTTTTAAAGCCTCTGAACACCAACCTAATCCATATTTACTAATGTAAAACTGTAGCAGGCCATCACATGCAGAAATACAACAAATGCCTTGGACATTCAGTGTTCCCTGGAGACTAGTATTAAGTGCTATGTAAAACACAGTGAGGTGTCTTATTTGGCCTCCAGCTGCTGCTCTTGAACAGTTCGGGTCCTTTGAACCTCCCATGACATAGCTGAGCCTTGGGTAAACGTCTGATATTCCAGTGCATTTCATATAGCACCAGCTGCCTGTACACAGACAGCTGACCCAGGTCATCACTAGAAGACATGGATTCTGCTGAAAAAGTTGCAGGTAGGATTTCCCCCATGTCAAGTGTGTTGTTAGCACGCATATCCTAAAGTAAAGCTACATATCTAAGACACGTGACCAATATTTGTATTTAATTAAAGTGCATGCAAGTGTCCACACAAAATTTTATCAACATTACCATGTTCTTTTGTATTTACATGTTTCCTATGCGAAGACTATAACCTGTAGTTCTCTGGAGTCTTTTTCCATCTGTTGTGCAGATAACTAATTCACTTTTTAAGGCATTTCAAGAAGTGCCTTGAAGAAATTAGCAGAAATAAGCCCTAAACCAGCCCTTGTAGAAAACAAGGAAAACAAACTATCCAGCTTGATCACAATCAAATTACTGCTAAGCCATGCACAAAGGAATTAATGACAGCACACCACAAAGACAAATCAGTTGGGTGGCAACGCGTCTTCAGACTGGCCCAGACCTGATCTTGTTTACTTTCACTCCTAGGTCTTAGATGCTGAGATTCCTGATGCTTCAAGAAACTAGTTAAGCCTCACTCACTCTTTTAATCTGAATGTAAAAGACAGTTATGTCTGTGATTTTGCAACAAGAGCGTGTACTCTGCTAGATAGCATGCATATGTATCCTACTAGAAAGATACACTCAAAAAATCCTCAGGTTTCTCCATGCTCTCATGCAGTTCCAGTAAGTTTTAATTAAGTTTAATAAGTTTTTTACATAGTTTTGTATTGCAGTGTTGTTAGTCCAGTAGTGTTACTCTGCATGGGTTAAACACACAAGGGTTTTTACCATGAATACTGAGACCATTTGGCATCTTCCACGGTGCTCTTCAACAGAGTATATGCAACACAGAGATATCATTTCCATCAGACAAACCCTGAGAAGGAGTGGCGAGCATCTCATATTAATCCTGCAAGATTTACTCTGCCTTTTGAAAGTAAACCAGATTAGATGGCAGATGTTCAGCTGTTGACTGTTCTCAACCATTTCTCAGATACTATTTCTTAGAGTTTGATGTTAACCATCTGCAGCCTTTTTCCTTTGCCGTATACTATTTTCAGCAGTTCCCTGTTTCATCTCTATTTCTTCACAATTTTAAGCTTTGTGCCATTTGTTGCCCTGATTCACAAACAACCAGTGAAAGAATGAGTTCTTACAAGCAGGAAAAGGAGGTGTACATTCCCCTTTTTCACACAGCATTACAGCAAGATCTAGACGAAGACAAGTTTTTGGATGAACAATGAAAACTCCCTGATTTTATGATGAAAAGATTAACATTACTCAAATCTAGGAGCTGAGAAGCATTCCAAGCCTGACACATCGAGATCAAAATGGTTTATAGCCAGCAACACTAGTTTTAGGACTCTGTACAAAGAGGAAATAGAGATACCTCTTTGTGTCCAGAACAGAGGATAAAGAACAAGGTCAACCAATATGGGTCCCAATGGTATAACAATTATTAGAGCTGCATTCCAAAAGTTTGCTATCAATGCAAGAGTAGTAACTCTTTTGCTTTTAATAGAATTGCTGCAATTCAAAAAAAAATGTAAAGCCTGACAGCTTCCAAAACTGTAACTTCTCACTCACTATTGTAGACTAAACTGAGCCAGTTGGTCAGAAAAAACTATGTGTCTGTGTGTTCTATTTTTAGAAGTCACATTAGATCTCACCTTCATATTTAATACTTGCCAAATACCCTCAAGCAAATCAAGATTTGACAACATCTCTTTTGCATACTCCGTGAAGAAGAGCAGGCAGCCACACTTATATGTGAAGGTAATAAATGACAACTGTGCACCACAGAGTACCACAGCATATTAACAGATAAATTTACAGAAAAGGTATGTAGTATGTCAATATTTCCAGAGTAAGCACTGTCAGTGGAATGGACTCATACCACTACTTGCATCAACACAGTGAAGATAAAAAGATACTATTTTCAGTATAACATTAGGAAAGTCCACCAGAGGGAGCCACCAGGACATGAAATGCATGAGTAAAATGGGCTTGAAAATCAATGTTTAGTTCCACAAATAGGGAAAAACCCACGTTTTGATATTTAAAGCCACGTGTAAAATACATAGCTTATTTATGCACTAAGCCCAGTCAGAGAAAAGCTGGCTCCAGTTCAAGATGCATGAAAGGCAGTTTTAGTTAAAAAGTTCAATTAGTCAGTTATCTTTTCAATGGGAAGTGAAGAAAGAATATCAAAACAAAATACATAACAAAAGAGCTCTCTTATTCAATAGCAGGTCATTCGGCAGAGCACACAGAAAATTAAAAGGACAGAAATATTTCACCCAACCAATTTCCACAGCCTGCAGCTCAGGCAAGTCCTGCCTGAAAATACAAATGAATGAAAGAAGAAAATAATTTGAATGTGTCAGGATGCTAACGTGAAACAAACGAACAAAAAATCCCACAGCCTCATGAACATGGCAAACCCAAACCAAAGAGACATACTGTAATACCAGCAGTTACCAAAACCCATATTAAATCTTTTGACAAGAGTCCATGTCCAGAAAGAAAGGAGACACCAGCAAAAAAAATCTGTGCAGGTAGTGCTCTCATTTAGAAAAGGCATATCAGGACTGGGCTAGGAATGTACCAAACCAATAACATACCCAGCACCATGTGCTGCAGCAGAACCTAACTCCTTTTCTGACTTGGTTCTAACAGGTAAAAAACCCACTCGATACCACCCCTTTATATTTAACCTTATTAAGGTCAAAGACCTAAAATCCTCTGCAGCTCTTCTTGTCTTCCATGCCTGTTTCCCAACCTGAGCTGGCCAATGACTAGCTAAATTGTCACAATCTCTTGCCCTTACATAACAGCCATAAGCAGGTGGCCAAAGAATTTAAGAACAAGCACACATGATACTTCCTCAACATCCTTTTGCAGCCTTCAGTCACATTCGGCTGCAGACTGCAGAGCCTGTATTGTTTTGAGATACTTAGCAAGGGATTTTCTTGGGTGAGATTCTCAAGGTATCTTCAGAAACAAGACCTTTGATACACGTGTTCTTCACACTTGAGTCACAAATTCTAAAATTTAACACAAATCTGATCCAATCTGACTGTAAATAACTGAAGTGCCACAAGCCTAACATAAATCACAGTATTTTCAGAAAAAAGTGCCTTGACCCAAGTTTGTTTATAACCAAGGAAAAAAATTACAGCATACAAACCTCTTATTTTTTAAGTCTTCCAAATTAATAAATAAAATTATGAGAGTAATGAACAACTGCACAGGCATACAGACCAAACAGCAAAAAAGTTTAGGTTCGGTCTACACAAAAACTAGAGCAAAAGAGCAATAGAGCAAACTGAAAAATAAACTTCATAAATAGCAAGTGGGAATTCAGTATTACTTATTTTTTCCAAAGAGGATAGTAAGAAAACATGATCTAAAAATTAATATGTAAAATTTAATTATGCAGTAAAACCTATAACAAGTAGAAGTATAGGCTTATTGCTAACTTACTTTCCCTATTACTTTGCATGAAGATAATTCCCATTTCCTAAAAAGAAGACTCACCACGTTAAAAGTTACAAATCCATACTTAAGATAATGGTCATTTTTATACTACTTGTGCACTGAACAAGACACTACAAGATGGTACAAATTTATAACCCACAACTTCTGGACATCCAAACCTTAACTGAGGTCACAAGAGGTCAAAGAATCCACTCCAGTAACACTAAGTTTTTCTTACAAAGAAAAATCTTTTCCTCTGTTAACAAGCCACCAGTTGAGAGGCTAAACAGTAAGCAACCAAAGCTTTGTCTCTTCTACGACAATTTCAATCTATAAACTAAGGACCATAAAATAGGTTACATTATTAATTACTTAGATTCAGAAGACCTTTCTCTTCTCTCAGAAGGAGCAGAAACAGCAACCAAGTTCTCATGGGGCTGGGGGAGAGGGAGGACAACTGGAGCTGGATGAACAATGGCAATCTCACTTCCATCTACATCACCTTGATATGTACTCTTCCAACACCAACAAACCTGATGTCCACCGACAGCAATCAGAACTTGCTACCTTGTGAAACTGTAAAAGATTTTGTTAGTATTTACAGAATGTAACTGAATAGAAGTGACCTTCAAAGATATTTAAAAACAGACAAGAAAACTGAAGCCAAACATTAAATCTTGACAGTTACCCATTTCTAAGTAAAATAAAGTCTTTAAAAGGAAGGGGAGGAACACATCAACAGTTTTCCAGAGGCATTCTACAAAAATACTTGTAAGACATGAACAAGAGTTATTACATCTTGTTTCCAAAAAAACCAAAATTTTTCATCACTATATACAGACTTACCGATACAAATGGCCATCATCTTGGAAGTCCTCTTTGCCCCACCTTCCTTTAATATCTTCGATAACATGGTTTTTCAGGAACTTTTTAAGCAGCTTAACTGTTTGATCGCGAGTCACCTCTGGGCCGAAATTTTGATTAGAGCCGAGTAGCTCATGCAAAATATCCACCGCCTCCGAAGCTTTGAAGCAACGCTCGTAGCTTTTGAAACGACAGCGGTGCTTCCGCACGGGCATCCCGGCACGGAAGAGTTCTATTATCTCGTTCCACTAAGGGAGGAGAACAAAATCCGTTACGGGAACTCTGCTCCCAGGAGCATTGTGGCTCTACAAGCGCGATCAGAAAGCAAAAACTTGAAACCCTGAGAGCAGAGCTACGCAATTTTCTCTCAAATCTGCGTTTGCGAGAACACGGAAAGATAAATCCAGGAGTTAGACTCTCCAGACCTGAAAACAAACACAGGTCTAGGAAGCTGAAATATTTAGAGCCTCATATATCTGCCGCCCTACAGACACGACCTTTTAACCTCCCTTAGGCGGGACAAAAGGCTGGACCTGCCGCGCCGCTCCGCAGCGCCTGCACTGGGTTCCCCCGCCCCGCACGGAGCCAGCCTGGCAGCAGCGGCCGGCACCCAGAAGACTGGAGAGGGAGCAGCCGTGGGCGCGAGCAAGTCCCGGGGCAGGAAGCTGCCGTGGGGCAGGGGCATCTCAACCAGGCGTGTGGCGCGGTAAGCCGGGCCCACCAGCCGCGGCCATCGGGGGGATCGCGTCCGGCGGCCGCCCGCGCGGAATCCTCCCGGCCACGGCCGCGTCCCATTGCGGGGCGGCGGCCGTCAAGTGAGGCCGCGCGCCATCTGAATTGGGCTACCCGGATACGGCACGAGAAGGCCGGCGGGAGCGGCGGCGGCTCCGCCCTGAGGGCGGGCCTGCGGAGCTGGGCTCGGGTTTAAACCCAGCCTTACCTTAGCAAGGCATAGCAGTACTTCAAGAGAGGGTGCCTAGAGGATGGAGCCAGGCTCTTCTCCGTGGTGCTAAGCAATAGGACAGGAGACAATTAACAGAAACTGATGCACAGGAAGTTTCACCTGAATATGGGGAAAAACTTCATTACTGTGCGGTTGACCACACACTGGAACAGACTGACCAGACAGGGTGTGGAGTCTCCCTCACTGGAGATACCCAAGAGTTGTCTGGATGCAATCCTGTCCCATGTGCTCTAGGATGACCCTGCTGGAGTAGATGACCCACTGTGGTACCTTCCAACCTGGGTCAAACCACGTCACTGAAACACTGGCCCGTGAATTACCACCCAGATAAAGAGAACACAACCTTGGCATTAACTAAACAATCAAACAAAACAAAACCAAAAAATCAAACAAAAAAAAATCCCGACATTTTTCAATGTTTTAAAGTTGTTTCCAATCATATTTTTTGATCAATAATTTTGTTTTGAATTCAGGCTGTATGTGGGATAATTATTACTTACAATTATATTTTATATTATTCATACAGAAGACAGGGATTGATGTTGGTGTCACAGAGCTCATTGAGTTGTTTTATATTAGCTTTTTGTGAACATTATAAAGAAAGGATGATTTGGAAAATAAATAGGAAACTTGTTTTAAGGTATGAAATTCTGACAGGAGGTCAGCTCTGCTGCAGGGGCAGGCATATAACTGAAATTCCTGTGATACCTATTACAGATGAGCTATCTGTCAAGTTTTAGGACTCCCACAGATGAGGAGTGACTGCTAACACTAGTGTTTCACCTCCACCAAGTTTAAGGAAAATAAAATTCCCCTCTCAACATTGACTGTAACATGCACTTCTCTTTCTAACCTAACTCAAATGTATGATACACTTAAGCATGTAAGATGCACAATTTTTAGGTCCGGATCAAGTTTTTGTAATTCTCACATTGTGTGTAAGTGGACAGGATTTAATAACATTTTGTACTGATGTCATTGGCATAGTAACACTTTATGCATCCTCTTAGGATACATCCATACAACTCACTGAAACAATGTATTCTCTTTCTCCAAATGCTTCCTAACTCACAAAAAACTAAACCATTGTGCAGGAAATTATGCAGCATGAATCTGACGTGGCACTTACTGACAGCCCACAGAATGATTAGCATCTCCAGTTTCTGCTCCTGCTTATTAGTTTGTCATCTCAACTAACTCTGGAAGAATTTGGCTACTGTACAACTGCTAGAATTGGAAGTTTTTTCTGACTCCTTTCTGTTCAGCATCTGTCCACATGCAGTGCTCCTTAGTTTTGACCATGTACAGTCTCAGGTACTACTTAAGTCCACATGAGAGGGATTCTGTGATAAAGCACCTTTCCACATGTACTGCCAAGGAGCCGAGAACTCAGCACTGATGATTCTAGGATCAAGCATCTGAAATTCAGGGATCCCAATACAGATTTCAAGTCATCCAAATACTTTCTGAGATCTACTTTCAAACTGTCATGAGAGCTGACAGCTACAGGGATTAAACAGTGGAAAAATATAAATTTTTTTTATAAAGAAGACTCAATGTAATCTCAAAAGAAAACATTTGCAACTCATGCCTATGATAAAGTTTAAATTCTTTTAGTATTTATAATGCACCATAAAAGTCAATAAAATAAAAGTGTTCAGGTAACAAAAGTTGTTCCCTCGGTATTGTACAACAGGGAGGCTATTAAAACCTGCCTCAAAGCTTTGGGTATTTGAAAATCCCACGGACCTGATCAAGCACAAAGCAAATATTGCAAGCTTCTTTTCTTTAGTGTTAAACATAATAGAAAACAGTACTTTTAAAGGTAACATTAATTTAAACACCTTTAACTCCTCATTTGCAGGTCTGTTGTGTGCATCAATCCTTTAATAAATTCATGCAGTACAAATGTAACTTACATACAATAGCTAGTTCCTTTAACGTCTATACATGTGTGACCCTAACCTCGGTCTGCCTAGCCATGGAAATAAAACATACTGGCTAATTCCACACAGACTGGAGTCATGCCCAGTCTCCACTGCCTGACCCACTCTCAGAAGCCAGAGAATGTCACATATTTTTTTTTTGCCTGGTTCTGGACAAAGTAACTGATGCTATTAATGGAATAACTTTAACCTTGAGTTGATAAGAACAAGCAATTATAATAATGAAAAAAACCAACACAAACTCTTTCTAGGCATGTATTTCAATAGATAATGGAAATGGAAGAGAGTAGAGCACAGTACAATCATGTCAGGCAACATTCAAGCTTCAATCAAAAAAATTCCTTTTTTTAATTTTATTTAAGTGCTAAGATTTTGGCTATTGAATTACAAGACTCAGTAATCCCCTTACCCCCTCCCACAAACAGCATATGCTACCAATATAAAATATATCCATAGATACATTGAATAATAAGTATATTAGGCTACTACAGTGAACAAATCAGTAAGATGTTTTGATCACTACAAGATCGCTACAAGACAATTCAGATAATCCCCATATTAGTAGCTTTCCAACATTTACGATAATGTCCAGCTGAGTAGAACATGAAATGAATTAAGTTCTCTTAGTAAAAGACAGTGTATCGAAAAATCTGATCTTCAAATGAAACGCCATGCCTTGACAGATCAACACACAATCCTTCCTTTAAAGTAATACAGTTTATAAACAGATATAACAATGTTTATGTATTGACTATATTAATAAGCTTTAAACAGTACTTACTGAAGATTCTTTTAATGCTGCTGACAGTCTCAGCAGCTTACAACATTAAGGTGAAGTGATTTTTATCCCCCTCAGTGTTCAAAGTACTCAGTACTTTTCATGCACATTTTAGTTTTCCTAATTATTATCTTTATTTTCATGCATTTCCAAGATAGATATCATCTATCCTCTTTTTTTTTTTTTTTCCAGAGATCCACAGTGCTCCCCTCAGCCCCCATATTCTGAATCCCAAATAACTTACGGTAAAAATACAAATTCTGTTCTGGAAGAAAACATACAAAATATACACCATGTAGAGTGTGCGCACCTAAATATCTTGATTGTCAAGTAGTGCAAGTTTCCGCTTTGATGTATATACTTTTTGGTTTTAGAGACAAGAATTTTTTACTGATCTTTGTGGATCCCATTTCTTGCCATTTTTGGTAGTCTTTGTCCCTTCGTGTAAGCGTGGTACCAGAAGTGGAGAAACAAGACTAAAAACATAGAGCCATACAGCCAAATAATAAACATGAAAATTGGATACTGGTACGGACAATCATCCATGATGTAGATTTGTCCTATATGAACTGTAATCATAATAAACTGGACCTGGAGGGAAAAGGTGAAGAAAAGAAGTACTTTTTAAATAAATGACAGACTTACTATAGAAATTTAAAAAAATTCAGCATAACTTGTACGCAGAAAAACAGATAGGAGGCATGGAGCCAGGGTAAAGTGGGGAGCAACAGGGACACCAACACAACTTCTTAATATGACAGAGATCACCTTTACAGCCCCTCTCCAAAAACCTTACTCCACTGAAAAACAGTTTTACAGAGAAAAGGCAGAAAAGTCCTGGGACAAATTGAATTACAAGCAGCACTGAGAAACTCATAGCAGGAGAATGAGATTCTACCCTGGCCAGTTCAGAGAAGAAGGAAGGAGGCAAACAGTGTTTGACCAGTGACAAATGGGAGGCTCCTTTAGAGAAATTAGCCGGGGGGGGGGGGGGGGGGGGAGGGGCGAAAGAACAATCATTACAGGGTTTGGGAATATGAATTCCCACCTTCCCTGCACACTAGCACGTGACAAAAAAGTATTCCACATGAACTCCAAGTTAATAGTCCACTGGTAGTGCCTCCAAGACAAAAATATTCAAGCTACATTGTTCAGAGTTGCACATGGTTACATGAACTATTCTATTAACATCAGCCCTAGGTGCAAGCAGACAGGGTGCTCCTTTCCCTCCTCCATTAGCATCCTTGCTCATGATAAGCGAATTGTTTAGCCAGGAGCTGAATTTCAAAAATCCAGTTGTTAAAAAACACAGGCATCAAAAAATCACCCAGAACCATAACCTTTCAAAAGTGATATAAAACTGATAAAACACAATGTAATTACTACAGGAGCATTTTGTAATGCTCTGGGGTGAAGAGAGGACCCTGACATTAGCTCAGCTGGTTAGAGCATGGTGCTACTAACACCAAGATTGTGGGTTTGATCCCAGTATGGGCCATTCATTTAAGAGTTGGACTCCATGAGCCTTGTGGGTCTCTTCCAACCCAGATTATT